ACCAATTTTAATATAATATCGATTAAATTCATCGGTCATTTTAATGATTTAAAAAAAATTCAAATCAGGTTTTGTCACAGGTTCAGGATGACTTTGATATTTGATACAAAGTATCGATCGGAAATGCTGATTTATTCACACGAAAAAAGTAAGCGAATCGAATGAACTAACTCAATAAATGATTTTGCACTCAACATATACTGTTACATGTAATATTTAAGTGCATATGACGTCAGAAAATATCATATGCGGGCGCAAATATCCTCAGAAGATTCTTTCCTCCCTCATATGATATTTTCTGACGTCATATGCAGTTAAATATTACATGTAACAGTATATGTTGAGTGCAAAATCAAAAAAAAAATATTTCTGAATGCAGAAATATACTCGAATCCTGGACAAGGAATGTTCACATGTTTATTACATTATAAGCTCTATCTAAAAGACTGTTAGAATTATAGACGAGACATTTTACTAAGTATTCATGCAATAAATCTTTCGATGTTAAGTATTTTATAAAAATTTAAACATCGTCCTACGAACTTTTGGTCACCCCTAAGGATAGTCAAGCAAAATCAAACCAGCCGATTTATTTAAAATTAATTAATGTTCTACGTGAAGCAACTGGTCAATGTCAAATATATATTTTTTCTAATATTCTTAGTTTTCTGTTAATCATATAGAACCACATGAGAGATGAGAATAAACTTTAACAACGCAGCTCTCAGCGGGTGATAGAAAATAAGATCCTTGGGACAACATATTTTAGACTAATACTAAGATCATAATATTATATTGCAGATGATGTCCTCAGAGCACATTTTTTGTCCACAGAGTAAATTGAATATTTAGCGAAATAAAAACAAACCCTTTAGCACATTTGATTCTATTTCTCCTACAACAAATTATTAGCGATTCTGAATTATATTTCTTTTCTTGTTGACTGATGGCAGAGAAACGAGCGCTGTTGGTAACTCTTTTGCATTTCTAAACATCTCCGTTAGACTTGCATCAGTCTAACGCTTTTTTCTTCGAGAAATTATTTTAAACATAAAATCGATGTTTGAGTTATGGTTATTGACGATCGACGTTCCAAAGCGATGACTAGTAAAAGATTTACCATGATTGGCTGCTATTAAATTACTTTAGAACTCTTTAATTTAGTTTAGTTGTACAACCGCTTATCAGTTAATAGAGATTCAAACAGAACACATTTCTGGAAGAATCAAAAGAAGATACCACGACCGGTTTCGACCTTTCTCAAGCTGGTGTGTTGTTTGTCGTGCCTTAACTCTGTCTTTTTCAAAGAAAACCATCTGACGAGACCTTTGAAAAAGGTCGAAACCGGTCGTAGTATCTTCTTTTGATTCTTTCAGAAATGAGTTCTATTTGGATCTCTAGTAACTAATAAGCGGTTGTAAAACTAAACTAAATTAAAATCATGTCAAACCGAGTTTCACATTTCATATATGTTTAGGACTCTTGTTCACCATTGATCAATTAATTTCAGATGTTGTCGTTGATGATGGTAAAGCAGCGAGTGTTACTGATACTTTGTTAAAAAAGCATTCACGAGTAGTGAATACACAAGCGTTTTATCAATTGAATGTGTATGAGATTTCGTAATGAACACTAGAAAATGAACTAATTTTAGGAGCGCATGGATCATACCGATGATAGCAGCAGCAAAAGTATACGCCAGCAATTGTATAATTGAAATGGCAAAAATATCGAACACCTTTTCTCCATCTTCTGCATGTGCAAAAGATCTAATCATTTTTCATTTAAAACAGAGAAAGGCTTAAAAACGACATTTGTGTTCAACAATGTCTTCCATGATGAAAGATGAAACTGCATGCTGCTAAAAGCATTCTTGCCACAGCTAATCGATTACTATCAGTTTTGAAATAGAAAGATACTCGGATATTTTTTTAAGGTTACAAAAGTGTTTTTTCCCGGATTTTGAACAAGTTTTCTAGGAGCCTCGAAAAACCGGGTCTTCAAATAATAGCTTTTTCCTGAATTCTTATGCAAAATTTTTCTAAACACACAGATTTGTAAAGCAGACATTTCTGATGAAAATAAGACCTCGCACAACTGTGTATGACCTAACTTAACAATGGCAGGGCTCAAAATACTTTCTAAAACGTTCGATTTTCAACCAAGTTTACAATCATTACTTTAATATTTAAAGATATGCGTTAGGATCATAACACAGGTTTATATGGGAAAAAGATAAACAGCATTTATTTACATAATAATAACTAGTAAACATTCATAATTCTGCGCTCAATGGCCAAAGCTTAATTATTTCGAATATGCAATGTTGAATATACTCTGATTTCAAAGTTCAATTCTATTAATCGATGCTTGTCAATCATCAAGAAACAGTGAGTAGCATTTAAAGCGAAAAGATAAATATTCATTTGTCTCTGGTGTTTTGATGAGTTTTTATTTGCATACACGAATATTTCGCTCAATCAGCTTTTCAACAATGACATAAGATTTACAACATGTTCTCAGACGTACACGACTGTGCATTTTAAGGCCCGATGAGGCTCGATTGTCTCCGTTTCGATATGTTTTATGTGAATGTACAGAGATGAATCGCAAGCTCTCACAGTTTGAGTAAGTTCGATGAGTCTCTCTGTACAGGTAAGCTTTGATATTTGCTTAAATAATTGAGAGCATAGACCTTATTGAAAATATTTTCTTGTTTTAGAAAAAATAGCAAAAATAGTAAGAGAATGAACGTGAATATGATGTAGAATGCAAATAAAATGATATAACTTTTCAATTGAAACTCAAAGCAACGGCTAGTTTACTTTCAACCGTTATTCCTTCACACCAATTCTTTTACACATCGATATGTGGAAGAGTTAAAAAAAATTCAGAGATGAGACTGCGTGATCAGATGCCAACTGAAATTATTTTCCAAACATCACAAAATTCGCGCGCTTTTTAAGATGTTTTTCAAGAAGTAATCATTTTCTTAGAACTTTTTCTTTAATATTTTGCTTTTGTTATTGAAAACGGTCTATTTTCTTTTTTTTCTCATTCAATTATCATGATTTCGCATATAATTAGAAGAACTGAGCGTTCTATAGGAATTATAATTTACTTTAAAAACAAAATCAAAAGCTTAATCATCTTCAACGAGAGATACTGGTCACTCTACCGTTGAATGCAGAGAAGTTGTCAGAAAACACTGTACCACCGCCACTTTATGTGAGCATTGTTTAAAAAAAAACAGCGCAATTCCTTTGAAAAAACATTGGCTATAAATTATTTTAGAAAATTTGCCTTAAATTCAAATTATTTTCAAAAAAATGCAAGCAACAAAAATTTAATTATTTTCTTTGATATTGTATGCTCGAGATAAATCTGATGCACATTACTTTCAAAACAAACATTTACACATTTAATTCTTCAATAAATTGTATCGATTTTTGAAATTAAAATTGGATACTGAGTTTTTGACTGGAAGTAATAACGTGGAGATAAAAATAAAAATAAAAATAAGAAGCAACATAGGTACGGATAAATTTTCTAAGTAAAAATTTGTTCAATTTTTTGCTTTGTCATTATTCGTGGGTGTGGATATGTCATGTAAACTGCTACGGTTTTTTAAGAAGTTTTTGCTCTATTTACCAATGAGATAGGTAGGAGACTATAAAAGAACTTGTCAGCATAGATCCAGGTCTGAAAATGCTACTTCTTCATTTGAAAGTTGATCATTTTAATATGATCCCACTTAGTAAAGAAGATATCATATGACATATTTTCTAGATATAACTCTACACATTAATACACTTGTTTGATAATAGGAGGAGTTTCACAAAATATAACATATAGATGTTTTACTCTTGGGGAAACATCGAGGGAACAGAAAAGTAAACCGAATTTAAGAACATAGTAAGAAATCCTATTAATCGTTCAGATTCTGTTTAACATGTCATAAAAAATCTGAAGAGGATAGATTGAATCTACCCTATCATAGTCGTGAAATCTTTCAACTATAATAGAACATTAAGTTTTTGTCATAATCGAATTCCAATGTCTTGATCTAAAAATTTTCAACGTTAAATTTTTTAGCATCATTTATCATTGATAAATACTGATCAGAAATGCGATCATGTAGTATTAATACAGTAATAGGAATATTATCTATGATGGAAATATATTCTGTATCTATTTATCTATATGCTTGAGAGTATCTCTATTCATTATTTATTAAACGATATATACTTATTTTACACGCTCATTTTTCAATAGAACGAAGAGGACTCATTCATTATATTTAATACTATTACCGTTGACAGAAAAAATGGAAACGTACGAAAAAGGATTGACTGAATGATGAATCTTCATTGTGTCTTCTTCGTTTTCTCAACAATTTCCTTTTACGCGTCAATTGACGTTCTTTTTTCCCATTTTTTTTTCTCATTCTTTCGCTTACAAGACATTATTACGGTATTTATTCTATGGATAACAATTACCTTTATATAATCGAGAAAAATGAAGAAAAATAAATGTAGAGAGAAAGAGAGAGCGAGACAGAGAGAGAGAAAAGGAAAAATGAAGAGTTTGTTCTTTACATAAATTGTTACTATGTGATGAGAAACCGTATATCAACTAGTGTGTTTTGTTTTCTTGTACATAATAATAGATGAAAAACTTGACACTTTTACATTAAAACGAAAAAAAAACAGACCAATTTCGTATTTGTTAAATCTTTTTCCAATCGGGTAAGTAAATTTAACAATAAAAATCTTTTAGATTCGATCATCATAGTTGATCCTCTGAACTTGAAACGGATTTTCCAAGATAAAATTTTTATACTATTTGGCATTTTTCCTATGAGTAAAATCATTCATAGTTGTATAAAATATCATTTTTCAATAGTCTACACTGAAAATGTATAACTTTTTGAAGAATATCAACTAATTAAAATATTTATAATATCATGATGAATAAAAAATTTGATTGAATTTTGTCGAATAATGTGTGAAACGAGTTGTGTCTATTGTCTGTTTAAAGTTTTAACTCATTTGATTGTTTAGCGTTCAAAGCTATATGATGATCATAAAATGTTATTTGTTTTTAAAGATCAGTCATGCTTTTAATAGGATATTAAGCTAATTTTTTGATTGTTCATGGGTAAATTGCTACTTCGATTTCTCTAATTACATTCATTCTAAACTAACAAATTAGTTTAATATATATTTTTTTTATTAAAATTAATCAGAAATGCATAATTTAATTTGATATTCTCCAACGAGTAATTAACAGTGGAAAATATATATATTTACAATATTTTTCTATTAGAAGAAAATATTGTTGTTAAATTCCTATTTGTTTATTTCTTTGTTTTAGTTATGGCTGCTAATGGTGAACAAACATCGAATAGTTTTGGCTTAGTACATCTGCCTGAATATGATTGTTTAATGGAAGATAAATCTGTTAAATTATCATCTCATCATAATAATAATAACAAAGATCTTCGATGTATAAAACAAAGTGGTAGTGATAAATTAACATTTTGCTTATTAATCTCACTCATACTAGCAATTGGAATTATTTTATGTCTGTTATTATTGTACGTGTTACATATAAGAACAAAAAAAGATAGTATGTATTGTATATTTTCTTCTAAATGTTACAATAGTTCTATTAAATATATAAACAACTTATAAAACAACCATATTGCTTTTATATTCCCTAATGTGCATATGTTTAACAGAAAAGTAATATTTATAAGTTTCTAGTAAATGTTACTATATAAAAGCCATTAGAGAATAAAAAAAATACTCAATCTAATCAACTATACACCCGTTGAACTAGTTTTACAGTAATTATCATCAAATTATAATCGAAATTTTCGATTCAGTTGCGCTCATCACTGTTTGATAATATCTAATATGAGTGTTTTGAATATGAAAATGTTCTTTTAATTTAGAATTATGTGTCACACCGGGTTGTATTACTTTAGCGGGTGATATTTATAATGCAATGGATTTAACAGTAGATCCGTGTGAAGATTTTTATCAATTTGCTTGTGGAAACTGGGATAAGCAACATCCAGTTCCTGAAGGTATTATACTAGATACATTAGTTTTTTGTCTATTATATGTTAAATCTTATTTTGATTTAGGTCGTAGTGTAAGATCTTCGTTTGAATCATTTGTAAATGATGTTGTTGATCTATATAGAGGTAAATAATTTGAATTGTCTCCTTTCAATTTTATTTTAAGTTATTTTTTTGTTTAATTAGAATTGCTGAGGAAACCAGTATTACTGAATGAGCCGGATGCGGTGAAAAAATTGAAAATATTCTATCAAACATGTATAAGTCCAGGTATGAATGAATAGTTATAAAACTGAATACTTTTCACTGATAACAACACTGTCAAAAAAAGTGTATTGATAAACCACTCGGCTGGCTTCGGAATGCGTCCACAGTACGTTTTGAAGGCACATTAGGTACATTTTCTCATCTTTTTACTGTTAGTGGCCTTAATGTCTTTAAAAAAAACACCTTAACCGACAACAAAGTCGCTGTTTTTTTTGAAAAAAATAGCTTAGATGCATTTGATCGACATATCAGTAATACATCAAAAAGGCACAATGCACTAGCTACGGGCTAGACCCTTAATTACTCAAAGACCACAGATAAATCACGTAGTCACATTTAAGACATCGAAATGCGTCGAGACTCTTTGCTAGATCGCGAGTCATCTTGGTGCTTAGTCAAGATATCTCTAGCAAAAGCAATAGAGAGAAAAAGTACCCTGTCAACATTGTTTCTTCTGTTATTATAGTGACTATCATACTGTTGAACATACGATAATGGCAGTTTGGAGTCAATAGAATAAAACAGATTTGTTTCCTACAAATCTACAAGATAACGCTCGTCTGTTTCGATCGGTCGCCTGACTTAAGTGACTTATATTGGTACAAACGCCAATATATAATTTTGATGTAAAAAGCTTCTAATCTAATATAAATCTAAAACTATTTCTGGAAACCATGGGGGTCTAAAACTATTTCTTATCAGTTCTTCATGATAGATTATCTATATTCTGTAAGTTTCATTATTTGCAGATGATTTCTTCCGTTTATCAAAATTTGCTGATTTGTAGCAACATCCATCTCTTACTATAGAAGAAAGTTTGCTTAGATCTTTTATCTCTGCTCCAGTAGAAATTTCGCATCGTCGCTTTGAATATTTTCTCTTAGCTTATTCTTCTCAGCTAAGTATGTCTCTTTTTCTTAATTTGCTGCTGTTTGTTTAATTATGTTAAATTTGTTCAAATCAAATACATAAATTAATCAAATTTATATAGAATCGAAAAACGATAGTTTGTCTATTTGCTGTCGCCATACATATACCGAGATATATTTGGAAGTTAGAAGTCTCAACACTAATAAATAATTGACTCCTTTTTTCCTAATCTGTCCATGTTTAAGAAGAGAAACTAACACTCTTTTCACCCATTTTGTTCATTCATCTCAGATAGACTTATTCATCCCTTTTTTTGCCTGTTTTTAGTCATAGCCTGCTTTTATAAGAAATCCCGGCGTATTTAATGCATCCTCAATGCTTTAAGGACATCGAAATGCCTTACTTTATGCATCCAAAATGCCTTGACTAAGCACCCACGAGGTCGCACGAAGACACCATGGATGCATAAAACTGAAATCCAGCGGTCTTCGTAGGGCAGCGTGACATGTCTTTTACATGAAACTGTTTCTTATTGATCAAAATATGAGGTTGCGATTGAGACACCTGAAGTGCATATTTTTTTAAAAAAACCATCTCGTTTTTCACATTGAATCACTATGATGTGTATGTTGTAGATAGAGATTCGGCTGCAAATGAAAATGTCACACTACTCACAAACAAATTAGAACAAGTTGGAGGTTTTCCAGTATTATACGGAGACAAATGGAAACCTAAATTATCGCTTGAACAGTTGTTAGCTACTTTACATTTAAAATTTAACATTGAACCATTGTTTGAGTTAAAAGTAGCAGCTGATGATATGAACAATACTCAACATATTATTCTAGTAAGTATTTTCATTGCATGTAGTCAATCTCATTGAAAATTATTTCTATTTTAATGTGTAGATCAATCATCCATCATTATTTCTTCAAGCATCGGCTGCTTATGAATCACCAGAAGAAGTAGACGCGTATTTGCATTTTATGATTAGCGTTACAACGAATCTTGGTGCAAACCAAACTTATGCAAAACACGAAATGAAACGAATACTCGAATTAGAAAAGGCATTGGCCAACGTAGGTTGGTTATTTACTATATATTTTTGTGAAAATTCTTTGTACACTTGCGTTTGATAAGAAAATGATAATATTCGTTAAAAAAAAGAAAAGTCACCATCATATTTCGAGATTTGGAGTATTCACGTTTAAACTAAACTAAACTATATTAAGATGATTTGAGTCCTATCCACGTATATCGCGATTGTAGTTATCTTGTATATTTTAGATTCGAATTGATCAACTGGGAACTGTGATGGATTTTTATAATAAAGTCAGTATCGAACAATTACAGTTAATGGTGCCATCTATTAATTGGTCAGTGTATTTTTATCATGTTTTCAAAGAAAAAATACCATCTCATGAACAGATTATTGTATTATACGCTACTGATTACATGAAAGAGTTAGAAAGACTTCTTAAATTATTTGATATTAGGTAAGCAATGCAGAAACTAGTCCAAATCATGATTTTAATATTTTCTCTATTGTTAGGACATTTACTAATTATGGTCTGTGGCGTGTAATAGCTAATCTTGTGCCGGATATGAGTAAAAATTTTCGCGAATATCATCATGAACTCGCACGTCTTACACAGGTAATAGATTTAACCTATTATTATAATAAACTCATTTTACTGTTTCATTAAGGGCGCTGCTCTCAATGGTATTGGTTCCCATTGTTTACTCAATCGTGCTGATGAAACATTTGCTATAGCAATGACATATATCTACTTAAAATCCCAAACAGAAGTTAATATTCGCGAAGAGGTTGGTTGTAAGGAAATAAATAGTAATTGACTTCTGTTGATAATATTCTCTTATAGTTACAAGAATTAATTCAAAATATAAGAGAAACTTTTTACGAAACAATAACGATAAATAAATGGATGACAAATGATACAAAAAATGTTGCATTAGCAAAAGTAAGATAAGTTAGTTCATATCTTCTTTTTTGCTAAATATTGTTATAATTCATCATAAAAATCTATAGGCACAACGTATGAGTGAATTTATTGCTTATCCATTAGAAGCACTCAACGAGACATATCTTAATACAAGTCACGCTCATGTATGATATAATTGAATGACTTATATTTTTTGCTCTTCTAAATGATGTTCTTACACTTTAGTTAAATATTACAACAGAATCACATTTGAATAATGTCATTAATTTATTAGAAAATGAAGTAAAAAAGAATATTGCACTATTTCGAAAACCTGTCGATAAAAAACAGTAGGTCGTCAAACACACACACATTCACTAACAAAATCTAGTAAAAACTGTAGAGGAACAGATATATTATTTTATATTCTAACATGTTGTCTGATAAAATTTATGAAATTGGTTAAACAATTGATTCATTCAACGTAGTTCATTATCATGTTCTTTCTTTTGTGTTAGATGGATGACAAGTTCGGCACAAGTCAACGCATTGTATGACAGTAATAGAAATGCAATAATAATACCTGTAAATATTCTGCATGAAATAAAAAAATTGTTATTCTGCTATCTTTGTAAACAATGCGAAGAGTTTCTACCCTTAAATTTTCTCTAGGTTGGCATGACAAGACCATTTCTATATAGTTCAAAGTTTCCGCAGTAAGTCAAATTAATGGATTGAGCAGAGAAAATGGCGTCCACTTTGCACAATAACACAACACCATATGTATTTAACTACTATATTCTACGATTTCGTTTGCTTTGAAAATAATAGAGTTTAGCCCATAAACGAAGAGATTTTAGCTTAGGGTAAACTTGAGCCTTCTGAGTTTTGAATATTTTAACTGCGTCAAGCTGCCTATGTTTTAATTGCATCGATCTAAATTACATGTTTTCTTGAAAATTTTGACTTTTTCTGAGCACCCATCATTCTCATACGCTACTTCTCGGTTTGACGATCATTTTGTTGACAAAGTGGAAAATTATGAAACACCGACTGAAAAAATAAAAGGAATTATAGCGCTTGCATTAAAGAGAAACATTTTAAGCAGCATCAATTCCTGATTACGTCCTGTTTTAAAAGTTAAGAAAATAATGCCTGTGTAAAATACTTTCCTTTCTTATATATCAAGTGTGTATTTTACTTAATATATAGAACTATTGTTCTCATTTAACGAAAAACTCGTCGGTTTCAGAAAGTTTTTGACTGCAAAGTGGCGCCATTTTGTTTGACTAGTCGATTGTGCTCCTATATTTGTGTATTAACTTTAGTTATGTGATTTATGCTCGAATCGGAATGGTCATTTCTCATGAAATTGTACATGGTTTTGATACAAATGGACGTTATTTTGATGAACATGGAAATTTAAAATATTGGTGGAATAATGAAACAGATGCTACGTATAAAAACGTATTTAAAAATCTTGTCTTAACACATGCGCCTTTTATATAGTTTTGAAACCATCTAGGGCAGTTCTCTCTATTTCGTGAGATCGATTAACGAAAAAGAATAATTATATGATACAAAGTATAGACCATTCACTAAACTGACTTACATCACTGTGATATTCTATCATTATTCTGAAATTTGCTTATTTTTAGACGGAGCGATGCATAATCGATCAATATTCAAATTATATGTATGAACAAGTTAATATGACAGTAGGTGCTCTCTCTGTTTTCAGTTTGAACAAGATTCATAACACGTTTATTTCATAATATTTAGCTGAATGGAAATACTACTCGTTCTGAAAATATTGCTGATATTGCCGGTACAAAATTAGCTTTTCAGGCATATAAAAGATGGGTGAAGGTACATGGAAATGAACCTCGCTTACCACTACTTGATCATTATGATCCACTTCAACTATTCTTCATATCATTTAGTCAAGTAAATTATTTTCTAAATTTTATTAAGTAAAACTTTTAATTAATTATTCACTCCTTTTCAGATTTGGTGTGGAAATTACTTGAGTGAAAGACTAAAGAAAGATATTCGAGACATGATTCATACACCGTTTCGATACCGGTAATGTTAAAAAAAGAACAATGAAAGAAGAAAACTAAAAACAAAAGTTGATTTTTCTTTTTCTAGAATGATTGGCTCGTTGCATAGCAGTCACGAATTTGCTAAAGCATTCAAATGTTCCGCTCATGCATCAATGAATAAAAGTCCAAAATGTACCGTTTTCTAATTAAAATATTCTATTACGACATCTCGATTCCGGTGATTCTTTTCTTCTATCATTTCATTTATGTATTATGAATTAAACTCTTTTTTTGCGTATATCTACAATTTTGCTGCATGAGTATTATTACTACGAAACGCTGTGTTTAAAAATTGAATAAAATATCTTAAATGCATAATTTTTTCTTCTTCTACAATATGTACATATCTGTTGTTGGTTTTTTTTTTTGTAGACTATGTCAGTGTCAAAATGTGTTTTTCTCTGTTTTCTAATTATTTAACTCTTTTAGATTATGAAAAATTAGTCATAATTTTAATTTTTGTTTTATTAATTTAAGATACTTTTTTTGTTCAGTTAGATTTATTTTGACTTTTTAAATATTAATTATTTTGTCAAATTATATTCTACTTCCTTAGATGTGTCTGCATAATAAATGTAAACGAATTAATAAATAAACTTACCGAGTTAGTCGATTTACAAGTCAAAATGACATGATTATAAGATGTAATATACTATACTATTTACACGAACAATCGTATTGTACTATAGGAAAGAGTTTCACTTGCATGTGTATCATACTGAGAAGTATTTACTTGAGAAAATAACGATGATAATAAGAAGATTTATCAACGAAGTGTATATTGAACTTTTTTTCTTAATTGGTCGATGAACAACATTCACAAATGGCATTTTCTTCTATATTACACGCTTGTGATAGTCACAACAGGGTGTCCCACTTACATCAGATGTGTGTAACAAGACATATTAAATCAAATTGCAACAAATTATACGCAGTATACTCTTTTTCTTCATTGATGAAAAGAGAGAGAGAGAGAGACAGAGGAAGAAAAATTCATTTTACTATAATTATTCAGACACTACATTAACAAGTTGTTATATCAGGTTTGTCATGAAAATATACAGACGTTATAAAATTGTCTAACTTAGTTCTCTAAAAAAACCTTGTTGTATTATAAAATCAACAACCGATAGTACATCATATCTTCGGATTTTCTAAAAATGTCGTACAATTTTCTACATTCTATTAGTAGATAGAAATTTTGTTGACCTTTGTGCGTGTTGTGTGAATGTAGTTATTATCATTCAATAGTCTATAAAGTATTTTTAGAAATAGAGTTAGTTAATCCTTCTTATTTTTTTTTTTTGTCGGTCAAATTAAAACGATGCCTTAGGTGATACGTGTATCAAAAGTAACTTGTTAAAAACTATCTCATCTCTTCTTTATTTATATATACTATGACATTAGTCGTATTTCCTCTATACTACGTTCATTAAAACTATTTCGGTTAAATACTTAATTCATTCGGGTACAATACATAGTCTATTTATAGCCGACGGTCAGCATCGTCACCACTAATCTAGCGCTTCAGTTTTAACAAATATTTCATCTAAAAAAAAAAAACAGAAGAATAGAAGAGAATGGAACTATTCAAGAAGAACAGATTTTTTTTTCTTCTTTTGTTATATTTTTATTAAAATGTTCAATACAAATCTTGTTGTACACACTTTCAGTTGTTGAACCTAAAGGTAACATTTTTATTCTTTTTTTTTTTGTTGTACAGAATAAGAATATAGACGCGTACACCAGCTTAGAACAGACACTAATCGGTAAATTACAAATTATGTAAGAAATAGAGAAAGAGACGAGTCTAAAGACATTTTTTGACAGAAGAAGATCATGGATAAATATATTTTTCAATGTTATGAATTGATCTATTCGACTCTTGTTTTTCTATTTATTGCGGTAAATTTATGGCGAATAAAAAATTCGTTTGTTTGAAGTTGATAATTTTTTTTTTTTAAATTTCTTTTCTTTTTTTTTTCTTTCTGCCTTTTCCAATAGTTAATATTTGTTCACACAATAGAGAAGACATTATTATAGTTTCCTACAATGTTTATTTGTGTATTTATGTATTTTAATTAGTTAGTCAATATGTTCTCTTTCGTTATTTGGTTTCTTCTTCAGGTAAGAGCAGGGTAATTTTAGTTGAAAAGAGAAATACTCAAATGGTACTCTTCACTTCTTTTTTTTTGTATCAAATTCAAAATAAGCCAAAAATTTCTAGAAAATGTTGACATTGGCTTGTCAAAAAGTTTCTAATTCTACTATCATGTGTGGTAGCAAGCTTTTATTTTTTGACGAAAAACAATGGAGAATTTGCCAATATGACAAAAATGTGAAAAGTATTTCTTTTAATTGTAAGTTTCTCTATATTTTTATGGAATAAAATAATAAAATAGAGCGAAGAGAAGTATAAAAAAGAATTTAAATGTTTTCTCTTACCAATCGTTTAAGCTGCCGAAATTGTCGTTATTAAAAGATTTCGAAACGATGATTCTTGTAATATCTACGCAGGTCACGTGAACTTAGATGAGATAAAATTAAGAGAGAGTCATTTGAAGAAGCAGTGTAATAATAATAGTATCTCAAACAGGACAAGCTTTTCAAAAAAGTTATTAAAAGGTATTTGTGTTTAGTAAGAACGTTAAAATTTAGTTCACTCCTTTCTTCACCTGAAAACTCTGTCCTTCAATAACGATTTGAATCTCTTAAGTACTTGAACAGATGAATCTTATAGATAGTATTTAGTAAAATTGAGTGAAGGATCAGATTTAGTTCGTCTTTTCTATATTTTGATCCCTCACTATTTTCCTTCATCACTTACAATTTATCCAAGGATATATCTCATGTTACTCTGTAGATAAATTAGAATAAAAATCATTTGAAATTAATAGATTTTTTTTCTTATCCGAGTGAATATCGAACATTTTTTATGTGTGGTAATCGAATATACGGTATGAACATGATAGGTGGTTACTATACTCATCCGTTTACATGTAGATACACATAAATAAAACAAAACATATAATGTTTGCAATGCTAAACTCTATTTACTTCCGAGCGAATAATAAATTTTTTCTTCTTTTTTCTTTTGTTGTGTTTTTTCAATAAGGAAATAGACCGATGAGACAAGACAGGCGCAAATATTAAGATGATGACGACGATGATGTGACTGAATCTCGTTGTTAAATATATATACGTCACAATTTTGTAGATGTTATAATTTGTATTTGTCATAGTATCATGTACTCTCAATGACATTATATTCTTATTACGATCAATTGCAACTGCTATTACTGCTATTATCGATTCCTCTCTCTATCTCATATTACATTTTCTCCTACTTCACGTTGTTTTATGTTCAATTAGAAGGAGAATTGATTTTCAACATACACAAAATTCATAATTATTACTAAACATGTATATAATGGCGTTGAAAGAACAATGAACGTGCCGTCTATACATAGTGATGTATTAATTTACATATTAGTGAACAGTTGGTATGTATGTACATGCACATTCTTTAGATTAATTAAATATATGTGATAAAGAATGCGTGTGTTAGTCAAACGAGGTAAAATAAGTTTTATTACACACTATATTTACAAGGTACCATTGATCACGATTGACATAATCATGATTAGACAACGAAGAATCTATTATTTAAACGTTAAGAATTTAATTATGATTAATTATAATCATGTTCGAAACATGAGTAAGTAAATCATAACTAATGAACGTTTTATTATCATTAAGTGTAGTGTAATCGTTAACTGTTATAAAACTACGATGTATATAAAAATGTTAAAGACTCTTGAAAAAGAAAAATCCTTGCTAAAAGTATCTCATTAGTTTCTAGTTGGCAATGAATATAAATTATGCCCTATTTTTCTCTTCATAGTGACAGCTGCTGTACAATAATTAAAGTACTGGGAGAATTGTTCTGTACAGGTTCTATTGCAAACAGACTAGTCATTTAGCTCCGGCAGGTGATTTTGCAAAACGAACTTGAAACTGTCATAACTCTGTTTACATTTGAAGAAAAAAAATTTTCTTATTGGCAATGACTATCACGTTGTACTCTCTACGTAGCTTACAAAACGAATATCGGTTTTGGCATTTGCTCCTAATAGAAACCAATAACCGTATTGTACAGTCCTGCTTAACCGTTCCGCAGAATACGCTTGAACGTTTTTTCCTCTGATACAAAACCTAAATCCGTTTCTTCACAAGGCAAAAAACGTTCAGGCGTATTCTGCGGAACGGTTAAGCAGGACTGTACTATACGGATATTGGTTTCTATTAGGAGCAAATGCCAAAACCGATATTCGTTTTGTAAGTTACGGATTTTTTTTTAGAGAGCGATTCTACGATATCTCACTAATGTCCACACCTATCTGACATTCGAGGATAATGAGCTAAGTCGCGTATTTATCTGTTAAAGGTGGGAAATGTGCTCTAAAAAGACTATTTGGAGATAATTTTTATTGAAGAGAGCTGACCTACTTTTCTATTCATCCTCAGTAATATTGTATTTGTGATTCCTTTCTTCTTTTTTCTCGTGCAAAAATAAAAACTCTGTGGAAAATTAATATCATAAACTTTTTAGGACAACTTTGAAGATGGGTAACACCATCACCATGTCGATCTATATTTCTATTTTGATATGACCTCACTTTTTCTGTCGGTTAATAGGATGTTTACACGATATTCTTTAACCCTGATCCGACCACCTATAATATGTCCAAATTCTATCGGTTTCATTTTGATACTGCCTAAACACAATGGTAAGATTTTACCCTTTTACTTTATATTCCACTGAATGACAATAAGGTGTACTATCAATATAAACTGATTGCATCCACTCATTATTTATCTGACAGAGCAGCAAGACATATCTTCAAAGCACTCGTTTTCGTCTGGGATTCGTACGGATCCCAGATGAACGAATGAGGGTTAATCATGATTAAATTATTGTTGATTATGATTATAAGTCGGTAGTGTCTACAAGACAAAGTCTTTCATAATGATTAATTTTTATACATGGCACTATATAAACGTAAACGTGAACACGACAATTTTACTCAATATTAAATAACATCATATAACTTTTTCTGGATTTCTAACATTTTCATTTACTTATTTGAATCAATATATGCATTTTTAACTATCTTTTTTTTACGCAAATGTTTTCTGTCTAATTGCATATTGTAAATACGAACTGAATGATTTTATGCTAGATTGAGATGTATGTTGAAATCGGAAGACTAATATTTAATATTTTAGGAAATAAGAATTCTTAAAAGGGGAAGTCTTCATCATTTTGGATTAAAATTTTTTTATTTTTATTTCTATAACCTAAGATGAAAATCTTTTTTTTTTTTCTAGTTTGTTTATCATGAAATTTGATAAAAACTGAATATAGAAGTTAGATGATATAGATTATTGTATGTGTCATTGATATTGAGTTGTCAGACACCTATCGTACATTCAACTTCAATCGCCTATAGATGACAAGATAAATTTTCGTAGCCTTCATGTGTATGTACAAATTCTTTCTTTGTTTTTCTTTCGTCTCATTTTTAATAATGGACATAATAATACATGAGAAATTAAATACAATAATTCTTAAAATAATTATAAAAACAAAAATTTAACTAAAACAAGACTGGTAGGAAAACAGGGACATCAACTTCAATCGTCATCAAGAAATAAAAGATTTTCTTTTTCTTTTTGTTATTGTTTTATGATGCAGAAAACTGACATAAATGTCATATTCGTGCTATTTTTTGAAGATAGATAAAACAGTTGCATAAGTTTCTTTGGTTCTTATTAACAGAAAGAATGTTTTAACGAGTAAACATGTTAGATAGTTTAAATATAAATGTGCACTAAACGTAAGCACAATGTTTTACATTTTTTTTTTGATCATTCTTTACTCGGATTAAGAAACAATTGTATAGTTAATTCGAGTTCGACAGAGTAAATTTCAATTATAAACTATTAGAACATGTTCTTCTCTGTACGAGTTTTCTACATAGTTTTCAAAAATTTCAATTTTGATAGACAATGTTAATAAAAAAAATAAAAAAGAATTATTTCAGAAAGAAAATTGATGTCACCTTGAGATTTTCTCACTTCTGTTTTTTTCTGACATGTTTATCATCTTGTTATAGTTCATCCTATACAACCATATGTATATATATATATATATATATATGTATACCATATCTACTATTGTACATTTTAGTCTGCATGAGAAGTATGCCATATTTTATGATAATGAGGCGTATGTACACTTAGTGATTTAATGATGAAAAAAAAAAAGAAAGAAAAATCTTTAATAAATATAGTAGGTGCAAGCGAATATGAAGAGAAATTGAACATAAGTTTGTTTTGTTTTGTTTTTTTGATGTGACAATAAATATATAAAATTAAAAGAAAAGTATAGATGTAACTATGTTCACTTATATAATAAGATTCCTACGTGACAAGAGAATTACGAAGTAAATTTTTATGTGTATAGAATTTTATAACAAATAGTTTGATGGAGTGTTTGCATATATATATATATATATATATATAACAACAGTTAAAACAGTATATACATACATAAAAGTGAAACGTGGTAATATGTTCACTAGAATGGTACTTGATCGGATACACATATATATACCATAACGTATTATTGAAAAATATCTTCTGATAATAAACATGTTTAATGATGTTTATTTTCAGCCAAGTTAACGTTTGAAAATTTATCATACGATATGAAATGTTTAGACTTTTATGAGAAAAGTTTTAAAAAACATTTAAAAACATATTCTACTAGTATACAGTTCGTAAATTGATCGTTTTATTATGCATACAGAAGATCAAAATCGTAATATATTATTAATAATCGTTCTATTTTCAATATTTCGACTTTTTTTGCCTGTTATTTCAACATGAATTAATCTAGTGTATTTAAATTCGGACATTTTGAATAAAATTTTATAATAAGGTTGTAAAATGTGCAGTGATGCCTATGTATTCGACCATATTTTACATATTGTTTAATCAAGCATGTTTTTTGTCATCTTTCATTTTGTTTTTCACAGAATATATATAGAGCCTAACCGTTTTTAATGTTTATTTTTAGATGATGAAAAGAAACACTCTTCTTGAAAATCAATTATTATACATTTTTATTAAACAATCAAAACGGCTAATGTTTATATATTATACATATTAATAAAATATTGTTGAAAAATATTTGTTCTACACATATAATTAAAGCGATAAAGTACACCACCATCACCGCTACCAATACATACTACTAATAGAGATCGTGTATATTAACACCTTTTTGTTCCGACCTTTTTTTTTTTTTTGATTCTTTCTTTTTTTTTTTTTCTTCTTTCGTTTAATGTATTAATCATTTACAGTCTACAATAATCTCCTGAGAGTATTATATTCTATTTATATTTAAAAACAAGAAATCGAACGCGCTCATTCTCTATTTTTTTTTTATCCATTGATATAGTCGATTTCGAATTCTCTATAAATGTCATATCAAAAATCAGCGACAACTTTTTTTCTACTTTTTTGTTGTTCATCAAGAAAATATCTCGAATAATTAAATAAGTTGAAATTTCCGGTACGTGTGTATAATCAAAAATGTCAGACAACAACTTTATTAATAACTGCTCTCTACCACAACATATTGTTTATACATCGCCTAACAGACTACATAGAAACCAGATAATGCAACCTCTACCACTGTTTGCCCGACAACAACCGCAACACTATTTTATCGAGAACATATTGAAATATGACACTGACTACGAACAAAGAAAAAAAGAAGAACAACAACAAATCTATAATCATCAAATAAACCAATTGTTTTCATACGAACCACATTTAAAATATTCGTCAAGGTGTTCACAGAACAACAAAAACAATTATTCAAATCTAAAACAAGTTGTTAATACATTTTCTCCAAATGTAGCAACAACAATAACAACAACAACGAATACAAACACAACAACAAGTGGTTATTCAACAGCTGGTGATGATAGTGAGAGTTCAGCCGCTTTAAGTCAAATTCTCGTGAATAATTCGTCTGATATATCTATATTAGATACAGCTAACGGTTTTGTTAAACAGCCCAAAACTTCCTACATACGCTACGAAACAAGCAGTGACGACTCAAATCAAAGTTATAGAATTAGACAACAACAGCCACAACAGCAACAACAACAACAAAAACAAAAAAAATCTGTAACTTCTCAAGAAAAGTCACATGGTAAGTTTCAGCTTGCCCAATAGATGCAATGCAGAAGGGTGAATTCGACGGTTAGTTAAGATGAAGGTTGTACTTTACCATTGAAAAATTTTGATTCTCATTCTCGTAGTCAAGGAAAAACTCTTTAAAGTCAAAAATATTCATTTTAAACTTTTATTTACCCTATCTGACTTTCCTCTTCGGCTTATTTCAGTTCATATTTTATCTATCAACTACAATCGTCTCCAAAATATAGTGTGCCCCGTTGTTTTTGAAATAACGTATGAGAGAAAAGTGACGAAACTATTTGGTTTCGTTATTCTGTAGCTAAAATCAAGGCACATAAAAAATAAGTTTAAAAATCTTTTCTAACCACAGGGTTTTGGTGGATCTTTGAGAAAATAGTTTGCCTATTTAAAACATTCAGAATAGAAATATATTCGTTTTCTTACATAGGTAGATAATGTACAGTGTTGAGAGTAGCCGTCCAGACTCTTCATTTCTTACGGTTTGATATTGGGTTTTGTAGTCGAGTCAAAGGACTGATGTGAGATGGTCTGTGGGACTCTCGCAAATAACATAAACATAGGTTACCAATCACACTGAGTCTTGTGATATTCATAGAAAGCTCTATGAGTTAGAGATGTGCACGGGTACCGTTTTCATACCCGTACCCGGTCCGAACACTTTTTTTCCACCCGTATCCGACTTATACCTAAAAATTTTCCTTTCCATTTTCCAGCTAAAAACTTTTGTTTTTCGACTGGAGATGTCAAATTAGCATTACGTTCTCAAGTGACTCTTTTTTAAAACTTCATGTATTTTGGCTAAAATCTTATATTTTTGCACTAGAATTTGTGATTTTCCACAAAACCTTCCGGTTTTTGCGTAAATCAAAAAAACGGAATCCGTACCCGCCCCGCGAGTCGGGCACGGGTACTAATCGGGTTGCACATCTCTACTATAAATCTAGTTAGACTATAATTTAGACTGTTTTTCATGCAAAAATGAAAAACTAGCTCAAAGTCGATTCAAAACGTTTCAAAATTACAAAAACTATTTTAGCTGCTCTGGTTTATGCTACGAAGAAGTTTTGCACTTCTAAAATTTTCTAGAAAACCGTGCATAATTCAAGTCATTTTCTTTTAGTTTACCATGCTTCGAGCTTTATAAACGTTTAAAAGTAGCAAAGAGTATTTTTCTTTTCTATTTTTTATAGTAATCTTCCGAAGTGCTTGGGAAGTTATGAACTTATAGAAGTTTGAATACACTGATGGTATAGGTTTGAAGTTAAAACGCTTACACTTGATTATTTTGTCAGATTGATTAAAATTAATTATCTTGTCAGATTTATAATTAATTTTATGGAAAAACTTTCGACTTATTTCAGATGCTAGCCTCATGCTTGCTTATTGTTTATAAAAAAATAAGTCAGTTTTTTCGTCTTATGTGATCTCTTATAACATCTTATTCTGAGCTTCATTAGACAACAGTCTTCAAGTTGTCATAGGACGGATATATTGATTAAGAAAGTTAACACATTTTAATATAGCACAAGAAACAGTGAAAATTTATGTCTCTCGCTGTAAGGCCATTATATTTTTCTATGAATAATACTAATAAACATATTAAAAGAAAACATAGCTTTGATATTTGATACTAACTACTATTTATATATAGATTCACTAGCACACAAGGTCTGTTATATTTTCCTGCTAATAATGTTCTTTTTTTTGGTATTTCGTTCGTATACATTTCAATCAGATAAGAGAGATCTGATATTTCTTCTTTATTTCTGTTTTTTTTTTTGTCTATATCTACGCATCTACACACCGATATCAGCCGGATAATATACGCGACAAGTAATAACTATAATAGTCGTAACAACATTTACTTTGATACAATGTTTTTTGATACCTTTTACACACATAACTATACATAGCATCACCCTCAAGAGTCAGATCTCTCTTCTTCTTTTTTTCTTGTTTATTAACCTGATGAAAGACATAAATAGTTTTCCTCGATTTCAGAATGCCAACCGCAGCATCCATACAAAGCACATCATCATTCAGGTATTCAAACATTGTTTTCCAAATTGAAAAATTTTGTTTCACGAAAAACAAAAAAACAACCATCGTTTTCTAAAACTATCACTTTACCTAAGTCAACAAAAATGGAAAATGAACGTCAACATTATATTGAGAATAGTACTAATTATCATCAAAAAGATACATTATCGTGTAATAACTACTATGAACGTATAGGAGAAGAAAAAAACAGTTATCAGTGTACAACTCTACCATTCACATATGAACAACGACAAGAACATGAACAAACGAGAAGAGCAATGACAAAAATTAAAAATAATGATCTTCATCAATATTCTTATTTTGATCGAATATCAGCTTGGCTCGAATCTACACGAACATTAAATGATGGTATAGGTGATTTACCATTTATCGATGATAATAACAATGATTTAATTTTAACAGATAATCTATCAACAAAAAAAGATTCAACAACAATTAATAAAGGTACGAATATGAATAGTAGTAGTTGTTGTAGTAGTCCTAGTATTCTCAAATCTACTATAGTAGTCATGGGGCAATTATAAATTTCTTTTAATAGTAGTTATACGTTATTTTCCTGTTTTGCCTCTCGTTGCTTCCTTCCTTCCTGTTTATAGTTACAAACAATATATCTAAATGCGTATAGATGTAGAACAATACATAAAAATCGTGTACAGATACTTAAACAATGTTGACATTAAAAAATAAATTACTCTAGATCTTCATATAATAATAATAATAATAATAATAATAGATAGATAGATAGATCAAAACCGATTACAATTATTGTCATTATTATTATTATTATTATTATTATTGTGCCCTTTCAGAGGATGTTTCAATATTTTATAAATACCTTATTTGGAGATTAAACGTTTGCCTGACATTACGCAGAAATATTACGTTTTACAAAATATTTAAAAAATTAAACCTTCTTTTTGTTCATTTAACATGAGAAGTATAATATTGCGTGATGTGTGATATATAGAGCTCTCTAAAGTCTATTTTTTAATAACATAGACTCTCCTATATTTATATAGAATAAAACATGCAATAAAGAACGATTAATATTCTACAATAGAATTGATTACTAGTAGTGAAAAATGATTTTAGATAATAGTTCATATAAGACTAAAGATAATGATATAAATTATAAAATTATATATCATTGGTGAATATGATCATTGACTAATGCACACTGAGTCAGAGTCAATCACGTTAACCAGTTTTATCCATTTTATCGTTATTAAATGTTTGAAAGATATATTTGTTTGTGTAGAGAGTGAACTATACTCTAGAAAATTTAGTATTTTTTTTCATTCTGTTCTAATCGATTTTAATTAAATTTATTAATGAATTCTTCATACTTTGATTATAAAAGAAAAAAGAAAATATTTGGTAATTAGAATAAAAAAAATAAAAATTTTTTATAGACTATAGTTCACTATCTACACAAATAAATGAACCTTTCAAACGTTTAATAACGATAAGATGGATAAAACTGATAACATGAGAATGTCTCTCACTCAGTAGATATTAGCCGAAGGTCATGTAAAATTTATAAATCTGACTTGTATATTTGATAAGAAAATATTCTTTTGTTTACAAAAATGTGAACTATAGAAAAACATCAACTTCACTAAAATGAAAAAATTATCTTCATTTGCTTTTTTTGAAGGATTTGATTTAAACAATTAATTCTATCACAATTGACTATTCAACTGCTAATAATTACCATAAGTAAAAGATCTAAATAAATCAAGTAAAAATTATACGACGCAATTGAAAAAACACAAGTCATGAGTCAAGAAACGATAACTTCTATGGATTTTATACTTAGTAATAAACAGTTTAAAAATACAACCTTTTTGTTTTTCGATATAACTAAGAAGCCTTTACGTTTGTCTCCCCTCTCTCCATGAAAAGTACCCATGGTTTCAATATTTGTAAGGTTTTTTTAAAACATTAACAACATCAAACACATTCATGTGCGTAAAGATGTATTATTTCTGGTTTAACATTTTAATCTAAGCAACTCTGGATTTTTTTGCTTCGTGCTTTTTTTCTATTTTTCTTATTTTTTTTTTTTTTTTTTTTATTTCACTTATGTTTATCAGGGGAATAAATATAAAAAATAATAACATGGACACTATATAGAGCGATTGTTCCTAATTCGAACCACTTTTTAGCTAGTGAAAAGTTTTTGCTTTTTCCTTAAAATTTTCTTGGACAACGTATATTATTTTTTATACTACAAAGTGTAAAATCGTCTCGCGAGT